ATCCAGAAGTTCGTGATTTTAAGTATATTTTAAGTGATTGCGATTGGAGAATCAAAAATTTGAGATGCAATAACAAACCGGTACTTGATGAAAATAACTTATTTTGTCAACAAAACGAGCAAATTGAGGCATTTTGGCATTGCTTGTAAAAATCAAGTAATAATGTCTTCCAATACACTAATTTAAATTCACTTGCCGTGACTTCAAATGCGTTATAATACCGGCTAAAGCGTGTTTTAGCTTGCTGTCAACTTGCTAATTTATATTTACATTACGGCCCGATTCGATGGTGCTCGTTCGGACGATGCATGGACATAAGGTTGTTTTGATGATTTCTGGAAATAATATAGAGTTTTGAAATAAGTAAAATTACCTAATCTCTTTTAGAATGTTTTTAACAAGTTCTTACTAGTTTTTCCGATGTGGCAACAAGAACAATAAAGTTTGAACAAGAAAATTCAAACATTGCAACCGACTATGGAATAACACAGTAAATTTGTATAATTAAGCGGCATCTAAACATGATAGGTTTTACTAAATTTTCTCCTGTGCATTTATTACTTGCACTAAAGACACGGATGACCATTAGGTCGAAAGATAAATGAACAGGCTTTAAAATAAGCCTAAAACAGTTTTATTAGAAGTAGCAGTCCGAAAGTTATTAAGCACAAAAGTTGGACTCGTTTTTTTTATAGACCCTGTAGATACCTCGAGTCCAAAAGGTGAACCCAAAATGGCGGAAATTGTTTCAGTCCCTTTCTATTAGCCATTCCCTAATCGAGCAGAGGACTGGGTCTAGTTGATGTTTGGAGGGACAACAAGTTTTTGTGATCGAGCTAAATATATATTAAAAGATGCCTTATCCTCGAGCCGACGGCGCGAAGCGCCGTGCGAGGGTACTAATTCCCCCGGGCTATTTACACCCGGGGAAACGAAAGCATTAGCGAAGTCTAAAGTACATCAATGAGCGCGGGCGTCGGTCACCAACGATGGGTGGTCATCCTCACTGATCTCAAAAATATGGCGGACTGTCATGAATAACGGACACTGATTGGTCCAATTTAAAGTTTGCATTATAACGACTGCATGACGACAGAGAAATAGCAAACATTTCTTGATTTGATGATTGATAAATTTCTTGCAAATATATTTCATTTTTGCTCGTATTTCTGCAAGATTTTGTAAATTTCAAGAAAGAAAGGGCGAAAGAATCGGCTAAAAGAAGGGGGCCGACGTTAACGAAGGTAAGTTTGTTTTAAATATTGATTTTATAATGACTTTAATACCCGACGGCCTTGCGTATATGAAACAACTAAACAAGACAGCATATAATTTCAGGGTATCTTTAATATTGATTATTGCAAATTCAAAGTTTATTGCAAATTCAAAGTTTATCAATAAAGCCATTTAATAGTTTATAAAGGCAGTTTAGTTTTATAAAGAACACTTTAAAAACGTTTTGTGAATTGTTTGTGGTTGAATTTTACCTTAAATTGAAGCTTGTATTACGTATAATTACATACCTAACATATATATGTTGGGAAATTGATAATTTTGTAATTAAAAGTGATATTTTTAGACGATTTTCATTTGTAAGAATATTCTTAAAAAATTATCGTGTTACCATGACAACTACTTTAGATACTTCATGTTTGGAAAATACAATGGTTTTGTCAGCAATGCGAGGATTTATGCATGCATGTATTTTCTAGTTCTAATTGTTGTGTTTCAGGCTGCACAAATAACTTTAGAAATGTAGCAAAACTTCCTAGATGCCATATTCGGCATATTGTTTATTTTTTGTCCCTCCAAACAAGCGACTAGACCCAGTCCTCTGCTCGATTGGGAAATGGCTAATTGCTTTTCTCTGCGCGGTTAGCACGAAGTTGGCAAGGAATTGTGCCAAATCTAAATTTCGTATTTTGACATTGATGTAATTAAAGAATAACACTATGGTTTCATGAACTGATAACTTGTTCAGCGACACGGTCCTTTGAGAAAAAAACTGGAATAAGCTGCGAACTATAGAGATCCAAGGGTAGTGTAAAGTTTCAAATTGAAAAACACACTGCAAGAACTGTATAGGGTCATGACAACGTAGAACAGTAGGAGCAGGTACAGGCTAGAGCAGGCATTGGCCAGAGTAGGCACGTTGTTCAAAAATGTGGATTAGAACAATGTTTTAACGAGATAAAAAATTTCTTATTTCTCTCTTCGTAACTCGTTTATTAAATGTTCAATTGCAAGAGCTCTTATTTGGGCATGACGACTTTCTGTTCTGTAAATCTGATGGCTTACTCTACGAAATAAACAGTTACCATAAGCATTTCATCTCATTATGTATTGTTTTTAAAGTGTTCGGCACATGAGTACCGCGAGGTTTGAAACAAGCCTAAGACATCAGAAACTTCGTGTCTCGTGGATACAATTTATTTATTTGTGGTGATGCTACACGCGACGACCCGAAATTTAAATTGTTCCACTAACAACCAAATTTTGCATATTTTAAATTAGCTGACGCTAAACTTATTTAAAACTATGATCATTCCCATCATTCTTTTAGCATCCATACTGCACATTCGACCAGATATTATCTCGGTGACAACTTTATTTGAAATAACTGTATGAGATATGTTATGAATAATAAGCGCTACGACGTTGCATTTCGTTGCAAAAAACATAAATCGAAAGCACAGAAACGTAACACCGTTTGTGGTTAAAATTTTTGGTAAAGTTTAAAATGACGCATTTTATCCCCCTGGGCTGTGCGGTTTACCGAAAATTCAGTCCGTCCTGCAGAACCTCCGTCGGCACCGGGCATGCGCAAAACAACCAGTAGTTTCGGTTTTCCACGTGTAACATGGACAATAACAAAATGCTGAAGAAACAATTAGACTACTTTATTTTCAGAATACATTTACTCCTTTAGTACATATATAAATGGTGTTGTTGTATAGCAAGAGAAAATTGTTGCTCGCTTCGACAAGCTTCGTACATAAATAGACAAAATGGCCGCACGACTCGCAAGTTTATAGATATTATAGTTCTAAGTCTCTGTTAAAATAAAGAATGTACTAGAAAATTACAAATTGTAAGTGAAATGCTGCGAGTAAATACTGCATGGAAGTGCTTATGTGTTCCCCGGTCGTATCTTGGGTAGTCTTCAGGATAGTAATTGCATGTACTATAAACTTGAATTTGTTTATATTCATATTAACTGGGTCTAGTATAAAAATATTGGCGAATTTCATGATTATGACTACAGCAGCGCCATTAATGGCAAACATTTCGTAAATGAGAATCAAACAGTAAATACAATCTGCACGTGTATTTTTTATTAAAGCCATAATATTAGCCAGCAGAGCTTTGGCCGTATTTCCGGGGGGAGCTTGAGGGCGGACCAGAGTGAAATACGGCCAGCCGACATTCTATGCTTTTTTGTATTTTTGAGTAGTCTGAGCGACGCAAAATTCCTATTGGCTGGATAGCCGCTTTGATTGACAGGTCGAATATTAATCAATATGGCAATGTGGCTATTAAAGGCCATGTTACACGGTGCAATTTTTCTTGCAACTTGCAATGCAATTCTACTCTTGAGAGATGTAAAATTGCCAAATACAGGTCTTCATTACACTCCGCAGATGTTTTCCCAACATATCGAAAATTCTTCACTGATTTCACTAATTAACATTTCTCAAGAGTAGAATTGCATTGCAAGTTGCAAGAAAAATTGCACCGTGTAACATGGCCTTAACGCTCGAAGGGAGTGCGCTTGTTCAGCATTGTATTTCGAAAGTTTTAGATTTTTTAAGACAAAGGGGCTACAACGTTTTTTTAAAGTGCGAACAACGCCAAGCAATTATCCAACTTTTTTGTAATCGCGATGTAATTACAATTTTGCCCACAGGTTTTGGAAAATCTATGATTTACATTGCGTATCTGTTGCACGAGATGAGTGGTTAAAAATATGTGGGAATGAATGTGGTTGTTCTGTTCTTGCGAGGCACAATAGAAGATCAAATAGCCTTTTTACTATCGCTTAATTACACTGCAAAGGAATTGGCCAATAAAGCAATTGCAGGCATAATAAAATCGCCACCACAGTTTATTTATTGTACAGCAGAAGAAGTCGACAAGTTCTCACGCTATTTTTAATTTCTCGCTATTTTTAGCCCACACTGTGATTGGTTCTCTTGAATAAACAACTTTGTGGGCGTAATACAAAAAAGCCTAGAATGTTGGCTGACCGTATTTCACTCTGGTCCGCCCCAAGCTCCCCCGGAAATACGGCCAAACCTCTGCTGGCTACCATAATATATAACCTTCTAATATTATTTATGCATATAAATTATTGCTTGAAAAAGCAAGCATCAAAGCTGACGTAGGCTAGTATAGTACCAGCTGTGATTTTCGTGCTCGTAGAATGCATCGTTTGTTTGTCTAGTATAAATTTGTATAGTGTTTGCGTCAAGAGGCCATTGCATCTCACGGGGCTTGTAGTCTAGGAACAACGTATCAGTCAGGGATGGATCTACTTTTAAAAGCATCGAGATAAAGCCGATCTCCCTCAGCAGGAATTTGATTTACGTTGGATGCGGTCCACTGGTCCATCGGCAAAGTGTGAGCAAATAATAACGCTGAAAAAAAAAAGAATATTGTGGTCCGCGTGAAATATTACTAAACTGTTCGCTACCATGAATGCTTCCAGCAACAAATAAGTTTAAATTTGACATGATTTCAATAAAAACTTACCTATAGTTCTTGCCTTCAAAAATTTTTCGAACGTTAGCACATGCTCCAGCTGACGCAAGCAACATGCGCATAAGTGCGAATATGAACGCATTAAATTCGCGTATGTCTAACGATGAAACAGCAGCACATTCATACGCGTGCTCAAAAACAATCCTGACAAACAAAAATTGGGGGTGCTCGCTAGCGCTCGCAGAAAAACGACAAAAAGAAGCAACAGGCAACACGACATGCTGCTGAAACCTTAAGTTGGTTCTTTTAATTTTAAACTCGTTTACACTATAGAGTTTTTGTCATGAAATAAGATTCTTGAATGAACATTCTTTCGACCTCTAATCTCAATGTTTCCATCGACTTCGTCTCGGGAAACATTGAGACTTTCGGAAAAAAAAATCCTTGGGAGCAGACATTACGAGTATAATGTTTTCGCTTCATTTAAATTGTGATAAGGTGTTTGTTTTGAAGTTATTTACAATTTTCTGAGCAAACGCTTTGAAATCGACACAGAATCGTGGTGCTTCCACCCTAAAAAGACCGAGAGCGGAATTGAGATAAAATTCTGGAACCGTACAGCTCTATACTACATTTTGTTATATGCTAGTTCATTCTATAAATTCTACATATATAATCATTGCTTCATTCTAGAAATTTTGTTCAATCAATAGTTATATAATAAATTGTGAAGGATCAACTAAACATTTCAACTGTGTGACTTCCACTGTAGCTGGACCGTCTAACGGAAAGTAATCTTTGTCGTGTCCAGTCTCTTCACGGGCGTGGTATATCGCATCTTGAACAGCAAACAGGCACGAACAAGACATACATTGCGGTGGCTCACCAACACCTAGAAAACACGAATGGGGAAAAAGATCTCTTCAGTTTGCGAAAACAATACAGTATCTACAGTAAAATATATGAAAAAAAAGCTAAACAGGGGACAGCAATGAAAATGGCATTTCCTTAATTGTTAAAATAATCTACATTAAACAGTTTTGTGAATGTTTTTTATTGTTTTCTTCGCCGCTATACAGGTTGTATCAAAAAAGTGCACACCCTTTCAAATTAGCCATAACCTTTTAAA